GAGTAACTTGAGGAGTATTGGCATTACTTCTTTGAATGTTTGGTAGTATTCTGTACTTATTCATCAGGTCCTGGGCTCTTTTTAGTTAATACACTTTTAAATACTGCAACTATCAAATTGGTTATCATGGGACAGTTTAAATTATTTCTGGCATTTTGCTTTAATTATAGTAGGCCATACATAACTGGAAATTTATCCATTTCTTTTAGATTTTCCAGTTTAGTGAAATATAGATTTTTTTAAAGTATGTTCTTACAGTTTTCTGAATTTCCCTAGGGTCTGTTTTATGTTTCCCATTTCATCTCTGAGTTGATTAATTTGGGTCCTCTTTCTTTTGGTTAATTTACCTAGAGATTGGTCTTTATAATCTTTTCAAAGATCTAGCTCTTTGTTTCATTGATTCTTTGTATTATTTTCCCATTTCTATTTTGTTAATTTCAGCCTTAATTTATCTCTTTCCTCATTTTAGGTGTTGTTCCTTGTTTTCCAAGATCCTCAAGTGCATCATTAATTGATTTGTATCAGATGCTTCTAATTTTTTGGTGTAAGCACTTAATGCTATGAATTTTCCTCTTAGGACTGCCTATTGTGTCCTATTGGTTTTGGTATGTTGTATTCTCATTTTCATTCAATTCTTGGAGTTTTAAACTTTTCCTTCTTGATTTCTCCCTTGATCCAATTTTCTTTCAGTAGTGTGTTGTTTAGCTTCCATGAATTCGAGTATTTTTTCCCATTTTTAATATTATTGATCAATATCTAACTTCATTCCTTTGTGGTCACATAGAATACAGGAGGTTATTTCCATTTTTATGAATTTATGGAGACATGTTTTGTGTCCTAATATGTGAGCAATTTTTGGAGAAAGTTCCATGGACTGCTGAAAAGAAAGCATATTCTTTGGTGTTTTAATGGAATGTTCTCTAATTATCTGTTAGGTCCATTTGATTTATAATGCTGGTTAACTCCAGGGTTTCTCTACTTAATTTTTGTCTGACTAACCTGTCTATTGGTGCTAGTGGGATATTTAAGTCACTCATTATCACTGTGTTGAAGCCAATGTATGATTGTAGATCTAATAGAGAAATTATTTGACGGACCCTGTGTGTGGCACATATATGTTTAGGATTGTAATATCTTCTTGGTATATTTTTCCTTTAATGAGTATGAAATGACATGACCTTCCCTGTTTTTTCTTACTGGATTTAGTTTAAAGTCTATTTTTTCAGATATTAGAATAACTGCACATGCTTATTTCTCAGTTGCATTTGCTTGGAATAGCTTTTTTCATCCTTCTACCCTAAAGTGGTATCATTCATTGATGGTGAGGTGTGTTTCCTGGAGGCAGCAAATCAATGGATTCTATTCTAATCCAATCATTTAGTCTGTGTCTTTTTATTGTGGAGTTGAGACCATTAATATTGAGGGGTTTTATTAACCAATGTTTATTCATTCTTATTATGCTAGTGTTATGGTGTTAGTGTTTAGGCCTCTTTTGATTAACTTTTCTGGGATAACTTGTTCTTTGTGCGCTCTTGAGAGCGCTTAATCTTCTCTTCAGACAGAAGCATTCTATCAAGTATTTTCTATAGACCTTGTTTCATGGACATAAATTCCTTAAATCTGTTTTTATCATGGAAGACTTTTCTTTCTCCCTCAATTACAATTGATAGTTGTGCTGGGTAGAGTAGTCTGGGCTAGACTCTGTATTCGTTCATGACTTGGTTCAAGCCCTCCTGGCTTTTATAGCCTGCCTTTATATATGACTTGATCTTTGTCTCTTACAGTTTTCAATCTTTGCTTTGTTCTGTACAGTTAGTGTTGTAACTGTTATATGAAGTGGGGAGTATTTTTTCCTGGTCCTGTGTACTTAGTGTTCTGTATACCTCATCTACCTTTATGGGTATCTCTTTCCCTAGATTTGGGAAGTTTTCTTCTATGATTTTATTTAAAAAAAAATTTTTGTGCCTTTGACCTGTGTTTCTTCTTCTATATCTATGATTCGTTGATTTGGTCTTTTTACAGTGTCCCAGAGGTCTTTTATATTCTGTTCCTGAGTTATTTTAGATTTGACATTTTCTTTGATTGAGTGATCTGTTTCACTAACCTTGTCTTCAAGATCTGATATTCTCTGTTGCATTTCTTCCAGTTCCTTTTTTGTTCCTTTCCTCTAAGATTTTTGTTTCCATTCCTGGGTTTTTTATTTCAAGCTTTATTTCCTTTTTTATGTACAGAAACTTACTGAGCTCTTAGTGTGTTCCAGATACTTTATTAGCTAAGGTGTAAGTGCTAAACAAAATAGACACCATTTCTGTCCTTAAATAACTTATCTTCTTACATTTATAAATGCTATGGAGCCGGGTATGGTGGCTCACATCTGTAATCCCAGAAACTGGACGCCAAAGACAGAGGATTACCACAAGTTCATAGCTAGTGTGGCTCCAGAGTGAAGCCCAGTCTTTTTAAAAAATTAATTATTCAGGGCTAGAGAGATGGCTCAGTGGTTAAGAACACTGCTTGTTCTTGCAGAAGACCCAGGGTTCACAATCCCAGCACCCACATGGCAGCTACCAATTGTCTGTAACTCCAGTCCCAGGGGATCCGACAGCCTCTTCTGACCTCTGTGGGCATTGCACGACATGGGTACACTTAACCTACATGCAGGCAATACATGCATACACATAAAATAAAAATAATAAATAAAAATTTTTTT